TTTTTCAACCATACGTCAAAAGATCACAAATCGTATTTAGTTGAAGACATTACCTTTAAAAATTGAAAAAAGTTACAAATTTAAAAATCGGTAAATTTTGTCTTTTTTTTCACTTTTTTTTCTTAAAACTTCCATAACTTTTTGAAAAATAAACAAATCAACATAATTTTTTTTTTTACTAAAACCTTAGATATTTTCCTTTTGTTTGATATCATTTTGTTGCAAATTTAACACTTAACCTGCTCATGGTGGGGGATTTAAAATAGCAACTTTTTTACAAAAATTAACTTTTTCAACTTAATTTTTGAAAATGTTCCGGAAATACTGCATCCTTCAAACATATATAAAATTAAAGCTTATTTTATGTACTATAAAATGAAAAAAAAAATTTGTCCCTACACTTTATCTTCTGCATGTAAACGGCTGCCGTAGTTAAAAAAACGCTATTTTTGTGTTAAAATTTTCGATTTTCGATTTTAAATTTTCAACTTTCAACTTAAAAATGCTATAACTTTTCGAAAAATGTATGTATCAGCACAATTTTTTTTTTCTAAATATATTATAAGTATATATTTCATTTGACATACTTTTTATTAAAATTAGACAAATTCCCCTTATATAGGGGGCGTTCAAAACTTGAAATATTGTAAAAAACATAAATCTTTTTAAACTGAACTTTTGAAAATGTTCCGGGAATACTGCGTCCTTTAAACATATATCAAATCAAAGCTTATGTTATATACTATCAAATGAAAAAAAAAAAATTGTCCCAACATCTTATCTTCTATGTGCAAATGGCTGTCGAAAATTAAAAAAAAATGTAATGTTTGTGATAAAAATCACCTTCTATCGGAATGTTTTTTATACTTAAAACAGCCATAACTTTTTCAAATATTAACAAATCAAAATAATATTTTTTTGTATTAAAACCTTAGATATTTCCCTTTCATTTGTTATAATTTTTTTTGAAAATCTAACACTTATTCTGCTCACTGGAGGGATTTAAAATAGTAACTTTTTTACAAAAAATAACTTTTTCAACTTAATTTTTGAAAATGTTCCGGAAATACTGCGTCCTTTAAACATATATCAAATCAAAGCTTATGTTATATACTATCAAATGAAAAAAAAAAAATTGTCCCAACATCTTATCTTCTATGTGCAAATGGCTGTCGAAAATTAAAAAAAAATGTAATGTTTGTGATAAAAATCACCTTCTATCGGAATGTTTTTTATACTTAAAACAGCCATAACTTTTTCAAATATTAACAAATCAAAATAATATTTTTTTGTATTAAAACCTTAGATATTTCCCTTTCATTTGTTATAATTTTTTTTGAAAATCTAACACTTATTCTGCTCACTGGAGGGATTTAAAATAGTAACTTTTTTACAAAAAATAACTTTTTCAACTTAATTTTTGAAAATGTTCCGGAAATACTGCGTCTTTTAAACATATATCAAATTAAAGCTTACTTTATGTATTATAAAACTAAAAACAAAAATTTGTCCCTTCTTCTATGTCATCTTCTATGCACAAATGGCTACCGTATTCAAAAATATGCTATTTTAACAAATTTTTTATTTTTAAATTAAACACTATTTACAGATTTGCATCGATGCGTTTTTTATGATAGTGATTTTAATCACTGTCAGATATCATCTATACTGGACCCAACTATGTCACGACCCCACTGTGCTGGGTTTTTTTTAAAATAACACCATTTACCTTTATATATTTATATATTATATTTATATTCATATATTACACTTATAAATCATAAAACTTGTAATGAGAATATAAATAAGGAAATAGGAGTTCATGTAGCTTTTGGAATAGTCCACCGATTTTTTAAAAATAAACACTATCTACAGATTTGCATCGAAACATTTTTTATGATTTTTTTTGATTTTAATCACTGTCAGATATCACTATACTTGACTCAACTATGCCACGTCACCACTATGCCGCGACTCCATGTGCTGGATTTTTTTACTTCATTTGTGTGTACCACTACTAGTCTATAAAATGCCAAGTTTATTGGTAACATGTTACTGTATAAATAATTTCTAAATAAAACATATGACGTTGCATAGTTGGGATAAGTATAGATTGTAAGAAACGTTTCAATGCTTCAAATAGTGTTTAATTTAAAAAATTTATTGGATTATTTAAAATGCAAAATGAATTTTTATTTCCTTATTAATATCCTGATAACAAGTTAAATTATATATAATTGTTATATGTGAATATATATTTATTATAGCAATTAAATAAGGTAAGAAATTGTTATATAATAATTTAGTATTATAATTTTTTCGTATAAATTATAAAAAATTATAAAGTAGTTATTATTTTTATAGCAATCATGAATGGATGTTGAAGAACTTGAGGCAATATTTAAAAAAAAAAAAAATTGCTTACGTCTTATATAAATATTTACTGGTCTACAAGAAATTTTCATTAGAGACCAAAATATACTTTTTTAAACCAATTATTGCGCCCATTTCAAATCTGTAATTAGAGTTTCGCATATGGACAAAATAATAACATAACACTTCTAATGAATATATAATCAGGCCATAGACATCCGCTCTGTTCACCGTACGTGCACCCTTCAACAATCAAATGTTACTATTTATTATTCATAGTTAAAGAACCCTTTTTTAATGTAAAAAAAATTATGAAATTCCTAGAAAATTTGAAATAAATGAAAACCAGAAGATGAAGAATATGAGCGTATCTAGAAGGGATTACAAGAAGGATACAAGAAAGACCCAGGGATTGACCACTCGGCCTGTTTCGATCGAACCCTACAACGGACACGTCGTAATCGTCATCTGGTTCTCACGAGCTATATTCATTTAAAACTGTAGAAAAATTATATATATATTTATTAATATTAAAGTTTGTGTTCATTAACTAAGAACAATATCTCTCTGTAAGCTTCACGTGATACAATTACCTTCTAACTATTACACAATTGTTTTATATAATCATATGTGAAGTTACATTAATTATACCATTAATTATTATTAATAATATTATTTTATTATCAACAACTGTCAGGCTTTGCGTTTGTTTTATCATTATTCTACACGCCTAAAGGATAACTAAAAGCTCGGGTAAGAACATTCAAACTTAGCTTGAAATCAATATTAACAGGTACAGACCTGCGAACAACACACCCCGAGAAAAATAACAAGAATAATTCTTCATATTCAATACCCCTTTCCTATTACTATTTTTTGGTTTACGACAATTATATATTGTATATATATATTACATATTATATATATATTGGTCTATAATCAGTGAAAATATTTTACTGATACGATTTTAATTTAAATTCAGTATAAAAACGAATTTTATATTTTTATTAATTTGGAGATTTTTAATTTAAAAAAGTTTTTTTTATGTTGACATTTTTTACTGTAGTATAATTTTGAGATATTTATCTTAACACGTTGATGGACAGTCACTGCTATAGAAGTTATTGTGTTTTAAGTCGTAATTTGACTATAACTGCTATAAAAATGATATGGTATAACAGTTATTTGGTTATACGAGTAGAAAAAAGTCACCAGTGGACTACAACCTCTATAGCAGTTACACTTTTTTTTGTTTTCATTGTTTTAGTATCATATTTATAAAGAAAAAAGCTCTGATGCATTTTTTATTCCAAACAATTATTAATGAGATATTAAAGTGAATCTGTAATTACAGCCAAAAGCGTGACTGCTATAACAGTCATATTCGTCAATGTGTTAATTTTTAAAGAATTTTTTTCCAATATTTGATGATCATGAGTTCAAAAAGCTTAAAATCGTGTTATTTTGACATATTTATCATTAAAATCGTTCATTTAAACATTTACAATGAGAGCTGAGAAAAATTAATGGCAGACACAAAAAAAAAACATATAGTCAAATATTCTAATATGAATAAGAAAATTTTCTGACTAAGGGTAGACAGTGATGGTCCTTGATATTTATTGAATTTATTCAATCTAAATGAGATAAAAATCAAAATAACTTCAAATTTTTTTCCTAATAAAATATTCAAAAGAAGTTTTTTAGACAGGCGATGTTGGAACTTTGTACTCCGAGCATATTAAACTGTAATATATTAAACGTAGCCACCGTTTAACCACATCAATTTAAACTAGTTCCAAAAAATTCAAAGCAGCTATTCTTATCTTTGAGGAAACAATTTAATCAAAATAAGTTTAAATTTATATTTAATGTAAGTTAGATTTATGTAAACTTTATAAAAATTGGTAAACTCATTACTATGGCAAACCCTTGTATAGTATTTTAAAATAAACAAAAAAAAGAAAGAAAATTTGAACACAAATGTAGCATGATTTAATTATGGCAGCCATTTTTACGTAGAAGATAGGACGTCAGGACAATTTTTTTTTTATAGTAAATTATATAAGCTTTAATTTAACATATATTTAAAGTAGCAATATTTCCGGAACATTTTAAAAAGTTCATAATAGGTAATTATTAAAATCAAATTAAATGATCATCAAAAATGGTGTAGATTTTTGACAAAGACAAAAAAAAACATCATGTTAAAACCAATGTTTTGTTTGCTTTACATCAAAGCTTAAAAGTTAAGTATAATCAGGATCCTGCTAAATAAAGTTTAGACATTTGTTTAAATTAATGTAATATGATATCCTGATAGTGATTAAAATCATTGTCGTAATACGCTTTGATGGGTATTTGAAAAAAAATTAGTAATAATAAGAACTGTACATTTTTTGGATATTTTGAGGGGATTATTCGAAAATATGATAGCCAAGGTTTAGAACGGCGACAATAGTAAAAAAAACCTGCAACAACCTATTTTCTCCACATTTTTTTAGTCATTTATATTTCTTTTAATGACAACCCTAGATACACCATTGGTTGATGGTCATTTGAACTATTAATAAATAAAATTGGTCTATTATGAAAAAGTGGTAATCGAATATATTAGCTATGCATCAAAGCTTAAAAATATTACTTTATTTTACATTCAATTAAAAATAACTATTTTATTATAATAAGAAAAATTGGAAAATAAACATAAAATCAACCATTAAAAAAACTTGATAAAATTCTCGGTATTTTCGTTTATTTCCATTGGTTCTGAAATATCATCATATGATTCATCACGATACATTCCTTAATTAAAAAATCTTATTAAATTAATCATTCTACGCAAATTTATAATTTTGAACATTTTATATATTCTTTGTAATAATATAAAAAAAATAATGACAATTAAGTTAATTTAATTTACATTTTTGTGTAATTTCACAATAATTAATAAAAAAATAAAAAAAAATATTATTCAATTTACCTTGTCCTAGAAAATCGATTAGCTGTAATTCTTTATTAGTTTGAGGTACATCATTTACTTCTAATAAAAAAAATGCAAATACTTTCTTATAAAACTAAAACATTGAAGAAGCCAACATGTATGTTGAATAATTATTTTTATTAAAATCAATGAAGTATAACGTTTCGAAAGGTACTTAAGACAAATTAGACATAGTAAGAATGATTTAACAACTTTAGCGAATTTACCAAAAATTATAATTAAACTAGAAAATATTTATCTGCGAATTAGTAATTTTACCTTGTCCGAGAAAATTGATTAGTTTTAGTTCTTTATTAGTTTGAGATACATTATGCACTTCTATTAAAAAAAAAAATTATAATGAACTTAAAAAACGACTTCCCATAGAAGGTTATACCATGAAAGGACTTACTTTCTAATAGTTTGGTACACAACAAAGTAAAACTTAAACTCTATATAGTTTTAAATGATTTAGACATATTTATAGTGTTTGCATCGTAAAATTAAATTGTATTGCTTTAATGATGGTTTGATGATTTTAAACAATATAAAAAATTGAATAAGAATAATTTTTATGTGATTTTTTGGTTTCTACAGTAAAATTAATAATTATTTAATGAAAATTTCATATCTTATTGTATTAAATCAAGGCAAAAAAAAATAATAATAATAATTAGCTTTAATGAACACTTATTTTGTTGAACATTTCATATTACAATTTATTAACAAAACAAAAATTAAATAATTAATAGATTCAGTTTAACTTGAATTTTTTTATATATCGCAATTATTGCAAAATTCATACAAAAATATTTATCTATGAATAGTCATTTTACCTTGTTCGGGATTATTGATTATTTGTAAATCTTTGTTAGTTTGAGGAACATTATTCACTTCTAATAAAAAATAAATTAAATATATCAAAATACAAAAACTTTTTTATATAACTAGAATTTCGAAATAATCGTTTTGAAAATATCATATCATTATTTTGTGACAACACAAGGCAAAAAAATAATAATAATAATTTGCTTTAACGAACACTTATTTTGTTGAACATCTCATATTAAAATTTATTAACAAACAATTAAATAATTAATAGGTTCAGTTTAACTTGAATTTTTTTATATATCGCAATTATTTCAAAATTCATACAAAAATATTTATCTATGAATAGTCATTTTACCTTGTTCGGGATTATTGATTATTTGTAAATCTTTGTTAGTTTGAGGAACATTATTCACTTCTAATAAAAAATAAATTAAATATATCAAAATACAAAAACTTTTTTATATAACTAGAATTTCGAAATAATCGTTTTGAAAATATCATATCATTATTTTGTGACAACACAAGGCAAAAAAATAATAATAATAATTTGCTTTAACGAACACTTATTTTGTTGAACATCTCATATTAAAATTTATTAACAAACAATTAAATAATTAATAGGTTCAGTTTAACTTGAATTTTTTTATATATCGCAATTATTTCAAAATTCATACAAAAATATTTATCTATGAATAGTCATTTTACCTTGTTCGGGATTATTGATTATTTGTAAATCTTTGTTAGTTTGAGGAACATTATTCACTTCTAATAAAAAATAAATTAAATATATCAAAATACAAAAACTTTTTTATATAACTAGAATTTCGAAATAATCGTTTTGAAAATATCATATCATTATTTTGTGACAACACAAGGCAAAAAAATAATAATAATAATTTGCTTTAACGAACACTTATTTTGTTGAACATCTCATATTAAAATTTATTAACAAACAATTAAATAATTAATAGGTTCAGTTTAACTTGAATTTTTTTATATATCGCAATTATTTCAAAATTCATACAAAAATATTTATCTATGAATAGTCATTTTACCTTGTTCGGGATTATTGATTATTTGTAAATCTTTGTTAGTTTGAGGAACATTATTCACTTCTAATAAAAAATAAATTAAATATATCAAAATACAAAAACTTTTTTATATAACTAGAATTTCGAAATAATCGTTTTGAAAATATCATATCATTATTTTGTGACAACACAAGGCAAAAAAATAATAATAATAATTTGCTTTAACGAACACTTATTTTGTTGAACATCTCATATTAAAATTTATTAACAAACAATTAAATAATTAATAGGTTCAGTTTAACTTGAATTTTTTTATATATCGCAATTATTTCAAAATTCATACAAAAATATTTATCTATGAATAGTCATTTTACCTTGTTCGGGATTATTGATTATTTGTAAATCTTTGTTAGTTTGAGGAACATTATTCACTTCTAATAAAAAATAAATTAAATATATCAAAATACAAAAACTTTTTTATATAACTAGAATTTCGAAATAATCGTTTTGAAAATATCATATCATTATTTTGTGACAACACAAGGCAAAAAAATAATAATAATAATTTGCTTTAACGAACACTTATTTTGNTCTGTGTGCATATAGTCCAATACATACAGTGTTTCTTTCATCAATCTTGCTAACGGTGGAATTTTTTGTAATATTTCCAATAATTTTATAGCGCAACTATATCCAGTTGTTATTGGATTATTTGGCTTAATGAAACTCCTACAGTGCTGTCCAAATTGTAGGAATATGAAAAATAGTTTTTTTAAATCTTTTATGTAAGAACAAGCTAAGAATAAAGTCAATGAACGAATTCGGTTGTTACAATTATTTGTATCAGTTGTTTCTAGTAGCTTTCCTAAATATATCGGTTTTTGCAAATATTCAATACATTTCACATCATTTAAATGTTTCCATCCATCATAATTAATGAGACTATTATAGATGTTAGTTATTGGTTTAGTATTTCTTTTTGTTTCCGTGAATAGTATTAATGTCGATAGTAATAAAAAAAAGTAAGATTTTTTCATGGTCAGTATTTTTTGTATAAAAAAATTGAATAAAATAGATTGTTAGAATTTTTTTTACTAATTGAAATATTTTAAAAATTATGTTCATTGATTTCAGATTTAACATTATTATACATGTATTTATAACATGTAATTATAGCTAATTGAAAAAATATTTGCAAAGAAATATATTATCAGAACCCTATCATGTTTAGTAGTGGAGAGCGGGGTCAAATATTTTTAAATGAAAAGTACATGTATTAATATTTGCGGACTCTTTATGGAAATATCTTTAAATATACTATCAAATAATGACAAATTATTCGAAAACTAATTTAATACTATACAAGTGTTTGTGTTGTCCTACGCATGAGGTATGATGAAAAATTTGACTTTATTCTAATTAAACAATAAAATAATTTATATAACATTTATATACAGAGCGGTTCCCATGTTCTGAATATTTTGTTAACTTTTGATGAAGTTTATAATTTTTTATTTTCTTTTAATTATTGTTATAATAAACATTTTATAACAAAAAAAAGATTTTTTTTTAGATTTACGAAAAATGTAAATAGATGCATACATTTTGTAAAAAAAAAAAATATTTAAGAATAAATTTGATAAAAAAATATCGTAGCAATATACAGTTTAAAATTATCTGTAGCGTTTTTAAATTTCTGAAAATGTATGTGTGTTTTAAAATACCAAAAATTGAAAAATATATCGAGAGAAGAACAGAAGATAACAAAATTTATTCATGCTAAATATTAGTAATAAATATATAATTTATTTATGATAATTATCATCAATGCTTGAATGACCACCTATTATTCAACTTAAAAATCTATTAGATAAATTTATGCAGATATTTTTTTGTATTTTCTTTGTCAAAACAAGAGATTTGTTGTATTCATAATATAACATATTCAACAATGATATAATATAAAACTTTTGTATTGACTATCATTATTTTTTTTTTCAATATTTCATTGACATTTTTAAGAGGTATAAACTATGTTATAATCTGACGATCATTTTAAATCGAATTTTAAATTATTATTTTTATACTTAATGTTATAATTTATATTAAAAAATATATTTTAAAAATGTTCAACTTCTCCATATTGTAATAATTTGTGTAGTTCTTGAATAAAATTGCTATAACATTATAAAATACACAACATAATTTTTAATGGAAATATAGTTGTAGGTGTAATTTTATATAGGTGTAATTTTCAAGAATACTTACTTAGAACTTAAACTAACCTACAAATCATTACCGGACGTTTCGTTCAATGTATTTATAGTGATGATTAATATCACTTACACAAAATGCTTCGATTCGAGTCTGATAAATTTCAGAATAATTTTGTATTTTTGTAACTTTACATTTTTCTCAAAAAATATTTGAACAAAATCGGCTAGTAAAAGCAGATAAACACCAAAAATAATAAAACCTATAAAAACCAATAACAATACTTTTTAGCTATATATCAAAACTAATGTTTAATCAAAACATAGAGAAAAATTATATGTAAAAAAGTATATAGGTGTTCAGCGAGCAAGAAAACTATTGTTTTCTAATATTTTGTTGTTCTCATTGTTTATAACAACTATCCAGTTTCTTTACTTACTGAAAATGCTGTATAATTGAATTGAAGTGATTACTTCTCTATGATTGTTAAATAAGTTTTCAAGATTAACTAAACATTTTGAAGTCAATGTACATTTGACTCCTCTTTGAATCTTTCATTGTGTAACTTTATATTTTTATTACTATGCTAAGTTATCACTTAATGTTTATGTAGAAGTTACCAGATCGATTTTTTTAAATCTAACGTCTATTCAAACACTCAAATATAATGTTTTCTAAACTATTAAAAAATTTCTATTGTGGAAAAATTTACTTCAGAACAATTTGATAATAATACCTATGAGAACTTAATATATGTATCTAACCATTTGTAATTATTAATTATAAATATATATTGACTGTTGAACTTCTCTTGCTCATCTTTATAACATCACAAATATATCATTTCTATTATATAACCAAACCACTATTTGCCATAAAATGTACAGGTATAGTCTTACACTATAGACGTATGCATGTCATTCAGAGAACACAATCTGAATATTCACGTGTATAAATTTTAATGTTTATATTTTAGTAACAAAATGCATCATTCAAGAAAAAAGATAATTTATTTTTATAATTATTTATAGTAGCATAAGTAGAATTTGTTTTCATAAAAATTTTTTATTTTAAATAATTTTTTTATTGCTTGTTGTTTTATTAAGTTAATCTTGAAAACTTATTTAATAATCAATTCAATTAATTATACAGCATTTTCAGTAAGTAAGGAAACGTATAGATTTATTTAAAAAAAATGATTATAAACAATTAGAAAAAAATAATCCCTACAATTTTTCGTTACGGTATTCAAATGTATTGTATTTAAACAAAATGTATTTTTTATCATAATCTATTTAAAAAGAAATGATAAACTGTTGTCTATGATATACATATATGTGGGTACTATTGGTATCTAGATGGCACCACTTCCAGGGTCTGGAGATAGATAATGGTATCAAGTATATAGAGGGAGATTAAATCAAGTAGTGAATCGGCTAAGACGTGTCTCTATGTATATTCTTTAGTTTATAAGTGTATTCTGTTTTATATAATATTTCTGTGTTGTGTGAATATTTTATATAGAGTTTTCGTGTGTAATTAAATATATGTGTTATTTTTGTTTGTTAACATTTAATAGAGTTTTTGTGTATTAATTTATAAATATATAAATTAAATAATAGTATTGCGTCTTTGCTCTGTTCCTGTAATTGCCTGTTTGCATTTTCCACATATATATATATATTTTTTTTTCATTAACTATATCAAATATGATTCATAAAAAAAAGTTAGAATAATAATATGAGTAGATTCAGAAAAAAAATGTTTGGTGGGCCCACAACTCATGCATTTCTATATCCGGCTCAATTTATATTATTGACATAATAGTTTTGTTTTGAAACATTAACTGTATCATAACAATTATAATTTTATCATGGACAAAATTGAAAATGTTAATGTATTTTCAGCAAAATTGGTGTAGAAATAATGGAGTAATCAAGTATAGTATTATTAAAACAAAAAACACAATAGCATAATAAAAAAGATTTTCAACTACACATGTTTTATTTTTAAATTCAATTGAAAATAATAATGTCATCATAGTTTAAAAAACAGTGGATTTTATAAAAATACCATAGGTTAAAAAAACTTGATATAATTCTCTCTACTTTCGTCAGTGTCCATTGGCTCTGAAATATCCTCACATGAATCGTCGTTTTTTAGTCCTACATAAAAATAGTAACTTAATAAAATAATTATTATTGTTATACTATTATATTACTAACTTGTATTAATACAAGGTAAAAAAAAAAAAACAATATTTTATTTATCTTATAATAATTGCAAAATTCATAAAAATATATTTATCTGTGAATGAGTCAAATTACCTTGTCCGATAAAATCGATTAGTTGTAGTTCTTCATTGATTCGAGGTACATTATTTAATTCTATTCAAAAATGAATTTAATATAAAGAAATACAAATACTTCTTTTTTTAATTAGAACATTTTAGTAACAATTTTTGTTGAAAAATTTTACCATTACAAAAATTAATGTCGTAAAATATTTTAAATAAATTATAAATAGTTAGAGCTATTTAAAAAATTTAAAGAATTTATCAAACATTATAATAAACTAAGAAACCAATTAATCATGAAAGTCAAGACGTTGAAAGGAATGCCTATTTAATGGTATAGTATACAAAAAAAGATGTAAGTTCTCACGGAAAAATTTTTACTTATTATTTTAAAAATCTCATATCATTTTTTTATAATAGCACAAAATAGAAATAATAATAACAGTTAGGTTATTTTAGCTTGTATTTATAACTATCTCACAATAATTGCAAAATTCATAAAAAATATCTTTTTCTGGGAATGAGTCAATTTACCTTGTTTTAGATGGTCGATTTGTTGTAGTTCTTCTTTGATTTGAGGTACATTATTCAATTCTATTCAAAAATGAATTTAATATAAAGAAATTCAAATACATTTTTTTTTTAATTAGAACATTTAAGTAACAATTTATATTGAAAAATTTTACCATTAAAAAATTAATGTCGTAAAATATTTTGATGGATATTTGAAACAAATTATTAATAGTGATTTTTAAAAAATAGGTGAATTTACCAAAAGTTATAATTTACTTAAAAACCGATTATTTATGAAAGTCAAGACGTTTAAAAGACTTACATTTAAATTGAATAGCACACCAAAAAGAGTTTTAATTTCTCATGGTAAAATTATAACTTATTATTTTTTTTCACATTTCATATCATTATTTTTTAATAACAAAAGGCCAAAAAAATGAAAAATAAAAATAATAAGGTTAGTTTAATTTGTACTTTTAATTATCTCTCATTATATGCAAAGTTCATAAAAAAATATTTATCTGCGACTGAGTCAATTTACCTTGTTCGAAATGATCAATTATTTGTAGATCTTCATTAGTTTGTGATACATTATTCAATTCTAAATAATAATATTCTAATAATTTCTAATGAAAAGTGCAAAACAATTAAGAGTTCTTTAACAGTTTCCTTATATTTTTCTTAAAGAAAACCTCTTCTTTAAGATTTATTTATAAGTCCAAATTTTTATAAAAACATCTTTAGTTAAATGTAATATTTCAGAAAGATTTATTTACGAACAAATCATTTTACCTGGAGCAAGATAATCGATTAAATTTAGTTCTTCATAGATTTGAGGTTCATTATTCAATTCTACTAAAAAATTAATTTAATGTGAAAAAATACATAGAGTGATTTTTTTATCATAACCCACTTAATTACTTACAGAATAAAAATAATTTAAACATTTTTTTTTTTTTATCTTTAGTTAGACATTATTCTTGAATTATTAACTATGTAATACTTTTTATGTTCACCCCTTATGCCTTGTAAGTGTGCCAACTTTGTTTTTTTTTAATGGGAACACATGTTTTGAATTTAATAAAATGTTTGAATTTTTAATTTAATAATAAATGGCATTTGAATTTTTAATGTAACTTTATTAGTTTATGAAATATAAATATTTAAAGTTTCACATGTTTGAGTTAATATACAGGGTGTTCAGTAAGTCAGGAAACGGGTATCTATTGTTCTCATTGTTACAAACAACGAGAACAATAGAAACCCGTTTCCTGACTTACTGAACACCCTGTATATGTATAATACACAAAGAATTACAAATACAGGTAGCTAATAGTTTTTAATGACATCGATATTTGCAGGTACACAGCATTTATTATTAATGGAAGTAAGACACATTATCGTTAGGTTATAAATACACTAACAGGCAATACAGAAAGTATATCTATTAATAGTCATAATTAATAATAAATACTCAGTGACTGTGACAGCAACGTTATAAAAAACCAATTAGCTACCTGTATCTGTAATCCCTTGTGTAAAATACATTTATATTAATTCAAAAATTTGAAAGTTAAAATGTTTATATCTAATAAACAAATAAAGTTACATTAAAAATTCAAATTCCATTTATTATTAAATTAAAAATTCAAACATTTTATTAAATTCAAAATATGTGTTCCCATTTAAAAAAAAAACAAAGTTAATGCCCATACAAGGGATGAACTTAAAAAGTATTACATAGTTAATAACTCAAGAATAATGTGTAACTAAAGATAACAAAAAAAAAAATGTTTAAATTATTTTTATTCTGTAAGTAATTGAGTGGGTTATGATAAAAAAATCACTCTGTAAGCTTTGTTATAAAACTAAAACATTTATGACACTATTTATGTTTACCAATTTACCTTGTCCGAGATAATCGATTTGTTGTAGCTCTTCATTAGTTTGAGAAACATTATTCACTTCTAATAAAAAAAAAAAAAAGGGGGGACAGTATGGACGTGGCATAGTTGATAAATAAGATAAATATAGATGATATTGAACAGTGATTAAAATCACTATCATACGAATTCTGTAAATAGTGTTTAATTTTAATAGTTTCTAATCACATGTCAATCTAAAAAATTAAAGAATTTTTTCCAATTGTTTGGGATTATAAGTTTAACAAGATTAAAATTTTGCTCTTTTAACGTATTAGACGTTTAAATTAGTCAAATGAGAGCTGAGAAAAATTAATGACAGACAAAAAAATAAACCATATAGTTAAAATTAAGAAATACTTCGTACGCCAAGTGTGTAAAACTGTAAAATCTACGGCGCAGCCACTGTACACTATGATTACGCATCAATAAAAAAAACTATTTAAACTAAATCAAAAATTCAAAGTCGCTTTTCTTAATTTTAATGTGCAAAAATAATCAAAATAAGTTTAAATTTATATTTAATCTAAGTTAGATTCATGTAACTTTTACATGGTGAACTCATTACTATGGTTAACCCTTATACAATATTTTAAAATAAACAAAAAAAAATTGAACACAAAAATAGCATATTTTAGCTTCGATGCGAAGCTGAAAAGGTATTGGTTTTACTATGATGTGTTTTTTTTTTTTTTTTTTTTTTTTTTTTTTTTTT